TACCCGATCTACCATCAAATATTGGACATTTTCTATCCCTCGGGATAAACACAAGTTGTTCGGTTAATGTGGCACTAGCACCCACTGATTGACCAGTGGATGGCACTGAAAATTCCTGAGAAGGGCCAGCTATTGGACTGGAGGGGGCAGCATGGCTCTGCTCCTGGCGCAAATTTTCATTATCCGCCTTTAGCTGAGCAACAAGTTCCCTCAATGCCCTCAATTCCTCTTCCATTTTTTTTTTATTATTTATTTTTATACTTACCCAAACAATCACAATACAAATCAATAAACAAATAGGGAACCCACTGCTGGAATGCTCCAAGTCCACTGAAATGACACCCTGTCCAACAGGGAACATAAATTATGAATTGGTCACCTATAAAGGACACACAGGAATGTGGTTTCAAAGACAGAGGCCTGAGACGTGGATACCAAAGTACAAAAGCTTTATTTCAACAATAATAAAATACTAACCTTAAAAATCATTAAACTGTAGACCGGATTAGATTTACAAACATAGAATACACACGTAACTAACAAAAACCGAGGTTTACCTATGGCAGATAAGCTAGTTTACTGAGCGTGAGGCTCCACCAGGTGCATGGGTCTCACTACACCACACACACACACACACACACACACACTAAGATTAAGCGTGAACACACTGCACTCCGTGACAAAGTCCCACCACCGCACACGAGGGCCTGTCTGGAAGCCTCGGTTCCTGCAATAGAAGACCAAATAATCTCAAAACAAAAGAAATAATGCTAACAATTTACAATTACACTTAAATACAAAATCCAAAAGAAAATCAAAACACCTGCTATGAGGTTAAATGTCTCATCAAATCGAGGTAGATGTTCATTACAATTTCATATAAACACAAATAAAGTAAACAAAATTACAAACAAACCCAGATCAAGCGGAATCGCAAAAGAAATATAAAGCAAAAATCACACTAAACAAGATTAAATCATAAGAAACTAAAATACAAGAAACACAAAAGCAATTACGGACTAAAGAACAAATACAAACACAAAGCCAGAGTACATAAATCAGCAATAAACAAAACAAATGCTCATAGAAAAACTGGTCTATGAGAGGAGGCCGATACACAGCGCAAACACGCCAATTTTGAAATAAGACTGTAGTTTCACATTTTTAACCTCACCATATGTGCCCAATGTATAGTGTGCATATCATATTTTATTTAGCATTATTTTAATCACAGATGATGTACCAAATATGCTGTGTGCTTTGTGATTTAGGTTAATAGAAGACGGAAAAGAGTTTTTTCCCCCCTGTGAAGTATATATTTAATATACCCTTGTGAAAAAGAAATAGACTTTTGCATACGGAAACAATATACACTTTAAAAGAATATCCGCTGGAATGCCACTCTCTCGTGAACACCCATGAATTAACGCCAGTGACAACCCCGAGAGTGCAAATTAAAACAGAGAGCCCCAGAAAAGCACGACCTACATTGCTCTACTCATAATCCGCAGATTTTTTCATTTCCACCTGGCGTCTTGCCAGGATGAGGATTTTGCAGCTGTTGGAAGCAATTTGATCTAAAACAGAGGACCGGAAAAAACGGCCATTTATGTCTATTCAAGGTTTCTGTGGACGCCAACAAAACAGCACAGCATCTCACTTCCATTATGAGAAGAAAATCCACACAACTTCCCAGAAAACCCATCTTCTGTGTGATCTGAGAAGTGATAACATGATCGAGTCTAGACATGTCCAGAATAGAGACACGCACACAAGACAATTTCATTACAGGTCAATCCAGTTATATTTCACTCTGTCAGACTTTGTAAGTTGCAAAGCACACTCATTCACTAGAGAAGAGTTCAAAGACATCAGAGGTGCAACATAGAAAGGGTTTGAACCCACAACCTATCATATGAGGTTTTATGCACAACAGCTACAGCTGTGCCAAATGTCAAAGAGACATGGCAGTTTGAGACCAGGCACGTGACTTCAGGACAAAAACCTGGAAAGTTATAAGAAGGTTTATCTGGTTTTTAACATTTATTTCTAAAGATAAATGGACTGTGCCAGACTTCACAAGTCTCAATAAAATGATTGCAGGGCTTTCAAAGGCTCCCATTGCAGAGGAAAGACAATAGGGGAAAAAGAAAACAGCAGCAGGGCAGCATCTACAGCTTTGAATAGACACTGATATTTCTATTATAATGAATTGAATGGAATATTGCATTGATGTGTCCATTTGTTCAACCATATCACCTTAGTTTCAACCCCAACTCATGATGGTAATAAAACAAGTAGACAATTAATTATGAGCTGAGATGACAGGTTAGGACCAATCATGTAGAGATGGATTCTTTGTTCCATTTCTGAAACAAACACATTTTTATTTACTTATGGAAATTATGAGACCAATGATTCATCAGAAGATTTGTCCATTTCTGGCTAATCCACAGAAAGTGTTCTATATTCGCAGGCACTTATTTGGTTTGAGGATTAAACAGTTGATTTTTTTAAGCAAGTACCCTTTTATAATCATATTCAGATAACGTTGGTTTATAAAAAAGGGGATTAACACACACTCCCTTTCAAACATTTGAGGTCAGTGACAATTTTCTTTAAAAGAATACTTTTATTCAGCAAGCATGCATTAAATCAATTTAAAAGTGTCAGAAAAGACATTTATAGTGTTACAAAAATTCTGTCTTTTGAACATTCAGTTAAAATAAAAAGGATCACGGGTTAAATATATCATTATTTTTTTTAAATATTTGTATATTAATAAAAAATTCTAATGCATTTTTAATCAAATAAATGGAGTATTGTTGAGTATAAAAGATTTCTTTCAACAAAAATCTCAAACAAAAAATCTTCCCAACCCTAAACTTTTGAAAAGTAGTGTAAATTGAGTCAAAAATTATAACATCATTTAATGCCAGACATGTGATTTTTTTTGGAGGTTTAATGTGCTTTTAATATTGTAGGCTATTTCAAAAAGTATTAAAAGAAGCTGATAGAGAGCACACTGCAGATAAACAGAAATCCTGTTTACCCTAACGAAGAAAGTGAACTGTGTAGCAACTGTAAAAAATTAAAATATTTCCAGAGGCAGAACTCTGATGTGTGGTTTTCAGAATCATTTATTGGGTGAAGAAGGACATTCAACCGTTCCTTCATGCTGAACAACATCCCCAGGTTGCTCTGTATACGAGGAAAGAGATATTTTGCATTTTTTGGTCTATTATTTTCCTCGCTCTTGCCAGTTCACGCCGTGGTCTTACATTAGGGGTTGAATCCTTGAAAAACCCAGAAAGCACAGTCGGTGCTCAGAAAAGGCCATTCATTTTGGACAAAAATATCATGTTACATTCTGAACAAAATCAGGTCAGATTATAAACAAGTAAACATTTTGCCCTAATGCTGCCTTCAAATCCAAAATGTATATTCATAACTATGATTTGGTCAGAATAACATGGACGCATAGCTTCCACCATGATTCTTGAATTCCCAATTTCACAGGTTCCCATTGGTTGCTAGTACCACATTGTAGTTTAACATATGATGATTTCAACAGGACCCGAAGGCAGCATAACAGATCAAAATGCATTTACATATGAGACTTTTGTTCCTCTAGGTACATTTATGACACAAAATAGCAGTAGATTACATTCAAATGAAAGAAACTGAGTATTCAAAAGAGTTTTATCTCATTCCAGTGCAGAGGGGTAGAGCTCTTGTAGCCCAAATACAAACACGTGTTGACAAGGGGAACACACTAATGCATTATTAGTGTATATTGTGTAAGAACACCGCACCACAGTGAATTTCACAGACTTTGATCTGGCCTTTGTGCACAACAAGTTGAAAGATGAAATGAAAACATCCATGTAATACAGCGAGACGGAGTGCGAGCGACAGGCCCAGCGGTGCATTTAGACGTGAAAACACAGAAACGATGCCGAGGACCACATTTACATAAAGTGCCCCATATACAGTGGGTACGGAAAGTATTCAGACCCCCTTAAATTTTTCACTCTTTGTTATATTGCAGCCATTTGCTAAAATCATTTAAGTTTTTTTTTTTCCTCATTAATGTACACACAGCACCCCATATTGACAGAAAAACACAGAATTGTTGACATTTTTGCAGATTTATTAAAAAAGAAAAACTGAAATATCACAAGTGCATTTAGACGTGAAAACACAGAAACGATGCCGAGGACCACATTTACATAAAGTGCCCCATATACGTATATATATGACACTCAGTGGCGTAACTACAGACAGTGCAGGCAGTGCAGCCACACTGGGGACCATGCCGTGCGGGGGGGGCCCGCAGCGCACGCGGGCCCTGCCCACATTGCAAGCGACTATATTAATATAAATTAATAATAACTGTATTAATAATAAAATACAATATGTTTGTCAAAATTCTAGACACGAGCGCTGTGTGTTTGTATGTGCTTCATAACCGTGCACCCTAGGGGGCCCGTTGTAATAGCCTGCACTGGGGCCCACCATTACTAAGTTACGCCACTGATGGCACTGCTTTACTTCAACACAAATGTATGGTTTGAAGTCGTCTAAATAGATCAAGCACAAGTGACACACAAGTGAATCTCACGAAAACATCTCCAGGTCTGTTCTTTAGGACCATTACTCCTTTTTTGTTGTTGTTTTGTGACATTATTTTTATGATAATTAGCACATTTCCCATTTTCAGTTTTTTTTTTTAGTTCTCAGAGTTGATTCTCATTATTGTAATGACTGTAATACTGTTTTTATTTCAAGAAAAATTATATTTACGTAAAAAAGCAATGAAGGCAGTACTACACATACTACCAGGACTACCATAAGCACTTCACAATAAAAAAAATATATATATTTTGCATTACGCTAATGAGAATCTATGGGAAATGCGCTTAATTTGAATTAAAATAATGTTGCAATGCAAAAATGGGATTAAAAATAGGCTTCATTTTCTTATGCAACATATATTTTTCCTTTTGATTTCGGAGGGAAATATGACCTTGACTGGTTTCGTGAGATTCACCCATTTGTAGCATCAAACTGTCAGATAAAACAAACGTCCTGACGTTGCGCTTAAACAAGTGCAAACGCTGTCAACCTCATTAGTGCCTATCAGTATTTCAGTTTAATCTCAACGAACATTTTTATTTTTTGTAATTTTTTCAATGAAACATTATTAAAAAAGTATAGCACACTTTCCCGGTCGAGCTCTCACAGTTAATCTCATAACGCCATGATCTGTTCATGTCAAAATCCTTCATAAACGTTTCAAAGACACCACTATTTGGGATTCACAAACTGAATGAAATCAAACTAGCTTGACGAGGTGAACCACTGCAGCCAGACCTTCTCCTGGGAGCTTCAGAGAGCTGCAGGTCAGTCCTTGGCGGCTTTGCTACTTTAAGGTTTCTGGATGTCTGATCTGCTGGAGACGGCAGCTGCTGAGGGACGGCGATATTAAAGAATATTTTTAAAAAGCGAATGTTCCCTCCACTAATCTCTGGATCACCGACATTCAGACACTTCTGTCTGAATGTCTCTCCATATGTGCGACGTCACGGTCTAGCTCATTCATTAAGTTTTAATAAAGCTTATGTTGAAACTATGCAGTTGAAGTTTTTCAGGGGTTTGAAGGGAATCAGCCTATACACAACATGACAAAAGCTCAAAGCGTAAATGGCAAAAAATCCATCTTTTACTGCAGTTCTTAAAATACCCATGAGTTTGTGGAGAGAAGAAGTTTTTGAAGGACGGAGAAAAGCACATATAACACTGCACATATTTCTCTGCACAGAGAAAAGCACATATAATATCAACAAGAAAGTTTTGCTTCAGCCAGAGCCACAAATACTCTATTTTCACCTTGAATGTGCAGACTGATTTTTTTCTTTTTCTAATTAATCACAGTCATTTTAGTTATTGGTCAGGCTGACAGCAAAGTCTCAACAAAAATAAAGCAGAATAGAGGACGAAATAATCCTCCTTAACGTGTGTTTCTTTTGAACCATCTTTGTAAGTATTGTAAGTATCCCAGAGCAGTATTGGGACGTGGGTTACCTCTACAACGAGAATGCTTCCAAATTGACAGACGTGTCCTTAGGAATCAAAGAGACGGTCTTCACAAATCTCCAGTGCTGCTTTTGTGGCACCGCCAAATACCTCCACGTTGGCATCGACCCACGGCACCACGTTGCCAGGCATGTAGGCTGAGCAGTTGGCCATAGCAGAGATGTCTATAGGACGCAGGACTCTGTCCCACATGTTGAAGTGGCTTAACTCTCCTACGAAGGCTTGAGTGGCATCAAATCTTCCACCTACGATGTCCTGTGGAATAACAGCACACGTCACTAAACTAGGGATACAGTAAAAACAGTAATATTATGAAGTAAATATTCTATTTGAATATATTTTAAAATGAAATTTATTCCTGTGATGCGAAGCTGAATTTTCAGCATCATTGCTTGAGTCTTTAGTGTCACATGATCCTTCAGAAATCATTCTAATATGCTGATTTGCTGCACAAGAAACATTTCTTATTATCAATTTTGAAAACATCTGTGCTTCATAGTTTTGTGGAAACTGTGATACATTTTTTCAGGATTCTTTGATGAATAGAACATTAAAAAAACATTTATGTGAAATAGTCAATGTTGAATGTTGAATACACTTGTGCTGCTTCATATGTTTGTGGAAACCATCATTATTTGCTGAATGGAAAATTCACAAGAACAGCATTTACTTGAAATTTATATATTTTGTAACATTATAAGTATTCACTTTTGATCAATGTAATGCATCCTTGTTGCATAAAAATACCAATATCTTTAAAAAAAAAAATCGTAACCCCAAACTTTTGAATAGTAGTGCTAACAGACATACTGTCCTCAATCTGTGAAACATTTTATATGTCAGTTTTTGGATGGACTTTATTTTACAGTATGTCTATTTACAATTTACTTACCTAAGAAAGTACTGGGTAATAACTACATGGGTTAGGTTTAGGTTTAGAGGTAGGTTCAGAGTAAGTACCTAGTAATTGCCATCAGTATAATAAATATGGGTTACACTTTATTTTAAGGTGTCCTTGTTAAAGTGTAATTACACATTTAAGTACTGCGTTATTAACAGAATATTATAGATTGTAATTGTAACTGTAGAATATTATTTAACTACATGTACTTACTATATGGTTAGGGTTAGGATTAGGGTTTGGCTTAGAGTTACTTGCATGCAATTATGCATAATGAATTGTTATTATAATAGTTAGTACATGTAACATGTGTAACAAGCACACCTTAAAATAAAGTGTTACCAAAGTACATATTATGTGGAACAGAACTGTAAAATAAAGTGCTACTCATTAGTTTTATTTCATTGTTCTTTTCATTTCATTGCTTTTATATATTTAGAGCACTGATTTAGAGCACTGCATCTAAAGTCATACACATTCAGGCAGAAGCCATTGTGTTTTTGAATGTCCTGTCACAAGGGCTGCATTTTAAATTTGACCATAGTCCTATGTTGAACCATTAGAACGGCACCCATTCACTGTAGAGGATCTATTGGTGAGCAACTGATGAAATGCTAAATTTCCATTTTAGGAAACTTTCATTTTAGGTTGAACTATTCCTGAGTACACTTTGTTCCATTGACTTCCATTCATACAGATGCAAATGGGGGAGATAGGAAACAGAAGCTTATGCGAATTTTGCTGCGTTCCAAAGTTTAAATTCAGGGAACTCTGACCTTCAAGATCACTTTACATCGTCTTCACACGTCATCGTGTGACCTCTTAGGGTCTGGATTACAGCGTTGCAGTAAAGTAGAGTAGATTGCATATTTTTACATTGTCAATTGTGTTATGTTTGATGTCGTATTATGACCATTGCAATGTCTGTAGAAATTTTGCATGCTCAATGTCTAGTGTGCAGCTTAAGGGAGGCTCCTCATGCATTTTAAAAATGTCTTCCAATAATAGTATGGCAAAATTTGTAGGTACTTTTTTTTTGCATGATTTATCTTTATATGGTATTTCAAATATTTTTGATGGATGGATCTACTGGGTATTCAAAACTAGTGGAGTATATATATTTTTACAATTAACTCTTTCCTTGCCAGCATTTTTGAAAAAGTTACCAGCCACCACCACCAGCGATTTTGATGATTTTCACTAAAAGTTGATGGCCTCCAGTATATTTTGCTGTATGAATATTTGAATATGTCCTTCAGAGGCTACAGATGACAGTTACATGTTTCTCAGAAGATAAAATAAGGTAAATTTACCCTGATCTTCACATTCAAAAAGTTTTCACCCCCCGGCCCTTAAAGCATCATGTTTCCTTCTGGAGCATAGGTGAGCATTTTAACCTTTTGTAATAGTTGCATATGAGTCCCTCAGTTGTCCTCAGTGTGAAAAGATGGATCTCAAAATCATACATTCACTTTTGGAAAAGGTTCAAATATGCAGAAGATGCTGGAAAACCAAAGAATGTGCAGGAGCTAGGGGATTTTTTTGAATAACAGCAGGCAGTTGAACTGCTCAGGACCAACGCAGGACTCATGAACAACTATCACAAAACAGAAAAAGAGTCGTGGATCATCCAGGAAACGACACACAGTATTAAGATTCAAGGGTATGTAAACTTTTGAATGGGGTCATTTTTTATAAATTCAGTTATTTTTTTCTTGTGGAGTCTACATAAACATCTGTTATGTGAAATAGCTTATTCAGGACAGCACTAAATAAAAAATAACATGCAATTATTTTGTTCAAATGCAACACTGTATATATACTTTTTAACCACAAATGCTCATCTTGCACTAGTTCGACTTCACACATTACATAGCCATGTTGGAAAGGTCACACGTGATGTAGGTGACCATCGGTTCTGTACCGACCCAGTGTTTACAAAGCGAATGTGCAAAGACTAGCCTAAGTCAAACGCCCTTTACAAGAAAAGGTAAAACAATGATGTCAGACAATTTTGAGGTTGGAGGAGAAAATTATATGGAGTTTTTCGCCCTACCCTACCTTTTTGAACCGGAGTGCTCAGACTAAGTACTAACCACGTGTGACCTTTCCAACATGATTACATAATGCATGAAGTCATGGATATGCATCACAGAGCTAGTGCAAGACGAGCATTTGTGGTTAAAAAGTACATAGATTTTTATTTTTTATTTAGAAAATGACTGATCGTTTTGCTAGATAGGACCCTTATTCCTCGGCTGGGAACATGTAGAGCCCTTTGAAGCTGCACTGAAACGGCAATTAGTCCACTATATGGAGAAAAATCCTGGAATGTTTTCCTCAAAAACCTTAATTTCTTTTCCACTGAAGAAAGAAAGACTTGAACATCTTGGATGACAAGGGGGTGAGTAAATTATCAGGAGATTTTCATTCTGGAAGTGAACTAATCCTTTAATCCTTGTAATGAGCAATTTTCCAATTTTATATATGTCTCTGAGCTATGCATGGTAAAACTTGTTTGAAATTGTGTGTTGCATGTATGACAAATAGTGTATTTGTGTGTGTGTGTGAGCATAGTAGTTGCCCTGAGCTGTGACAAATTAATTTTTAAAAGTACAAATATTCAGTGTAGCCTCTCAATTAACATAAGTTCAAGAAAACTACACAACAATTATACATTTGATACAATACATGCAGTTTAAAATAGTTTTAGATGAAATTTAACATCTCACAACACATGGCAGTTTAATTAGTATTTGACCTTCAAGCCCCTTCATGTAATTTCTATTAAAATAAAAATTAGGCTGTGAAAACCTTTTATTTGAGAAACCTTTGGGGACTATTTAAAATGAACTACCATATTTTTCTATGAATCACATTTAGACAAGTAATATTTTTAAGACAAAAGCACCTATGATATAATGCCAGGTTTGACAGTTTTAATTGCCAACAAAACAATTATTAATTTAACGAGATTGTTATCCATTCAATACTAGGGACATCTAACATTGTTCCAAAGAAACCAAATGAATAAAAATAAGAATAGCTTTGCTGTATCTCATAAAGGCTCACCTTATCATTGACGAGCAGCTCCATGGGGCTGTTTCCCCACTCTATCAGCACAATCTCATTGGCTTGTCCCGGGACGCCGTAAGAGAACGGGGTTCCGATTCCAGGACTGGCACTGGACTTGAGCCACATACACACGGTGAAGGCATACATCTCTGGCAAGCTCTTCTTGATGCGGCCATACAGGTAGTTGGTGCGCAGAGGCAGAGACACCTTAAAGTCCTCTGGAGATTTGAATGCACTGTTACCTGCGAAGAGAATCGAGGGAGAGGTTTGCATTGAAGGACAGGAAGATGCAAATTGCTGACCTGAGACTGTGTTAATTTGATTTTGGCAAACTGAATCTGAGTAAGGCTTTCAGGCTCAATGAATGAAATGAGCGATCAACGCAGGCTCACGTAATTGTTCTAATATGAAATGACATGCTGGGGCTATGTAAGGTGAAATAATGATGTAGCTGCTGATGATGCTTTGGCGTAAATCAGTCGATTTGCAAAAGTGGATCGATTTGCGCTAACACTGATCTGAATTCTGAATACAACAGGACAATATGGCCATCCAGTTCTAACAGATGGGACCTGCATAAATCCCATATCCAAAAAGGCCAAAAGGAGCGGGTAAAGGCAAACAAATGATTGTAAATAGCAAGTTCATTTACATGCAGACATTCTCACACAAAACTAAATCTGCCATAGCCAACACATTCTGCCACAATGGTACCTTTGGTATATGGTATATCTTTCAACATAAAATTGGCCCAATGCAATGAAGTTTATGCAGTGATGCGTTAGCTAAAGGTTTCCCCGGATGCTGTGTTGAGCGCTGGTCGAGCGTTTAAAATTCCAACAGTGACCTTTCAAAGTGCAGCCAATGATTTACAAGCAATCTGCATGATGGATGCAATGCTGCTTTTGCCATGACTGCTCCCCATAACTTTGTACCTAAGTTGAAATTTACCCATGTTTATTAGTTTATATTACAATTCAAAATTTTGGGGTCAGTAAGATAAAAAAAATACTTTGATTCATTAAGGAAGCATTAAAATTAAAGTGACAGTAACAACCTGATCTCATGACAAAAACGTACCTGTGGGAAGATGCGAAATACGTAGTGCCATGTACGTTTCGTGACATATTTGATGTGAAATGTCCACTGAGTGGCACTAAAAGAGTGTTCGTTTTTTTCTCCGGAACAGATGAATGTACATATGGTACGTTTTATGTGACGTTGCTTTTGCTTTTGACGTTGCTTTTAAGTGTCACCGCAGTTCTGAAGTGAAATGTCTGTTGAGTGGCGCTATAAGTCTAATGCTCTGTGACATTTTAAAATAACATACCATCTGTACTACACCTAAACCTTCTCGATAATATGACCAAAAGCGAATGTGACGTAAAAACGCAATCGCGAGCATGCTGTTTTAGCTTGTTTTTCGATCTCTTATCTTTCAGCTCTTTCATCATGAGGTTTTTGACGGGTTCGTACTCAAAGATTCTGCAGTCTAAGTCCAATTCTGTGACGGCTGAGCTACCGAGAGAGCTTGTTTCAGCCGTAAAGTTAAACATATGAAGCTGTAATCATAACTGCTATTTTACCACCTGTAGCGTTAATTTCTGTTGGAAACTGCAGTGATATACAATTATTCGTACATTTTTCACGTCTTGCGAAAAAGTTGCCACAGGTACAGTATGTTTTCTTCATGACATCAGGTAGGACAGCAAAGACATTTATAATGTTAGAAAAAATCTATTTCACATGAATGCTTTTTTAAAAATGTTCTATTCATCAAAGAATCCTGAAAAAGAAAATGTATTGCGGTTTCCACAAAACTAAAAAATAATAAGAAATGTTTCTTCAAATCATCATGTTAGAGCGATTTCTGGAGGATCATATGACACTGACGACTATAGAGTAATGATGCTGAAAATTCAGCTGCGCATCACAGGAATAAAAACAGAAAACCGTTATTTTAAAATGAAACAGTATTTCACAATATTACTGTATTTTTAATCAAGTAAATGTATCCTTGGTGAGAACAAATACGTCTTTCAAGACCATTAAAAACCCTTTCTGACTTCAAAGTGTTGAACGATATTTATATAATTATTTATTTATTGTTTGTTTTATTGTTTTTTCCCCCCAATACTTTCTCATACCTTGTTTGCTGTCATGCGATGTTTGTTTAGTATGCTTTCCCCTCAAGGACTGCTTTTGTTCTGTGATAAACAAAACAATCTGCAAGACTTTTTTCTCTTTTAAGCTCAAATACATATTTTCGCTGTGAATATGTGTATATCTCATGCTTGCTTTCTTTACCAGCTCATTGCCCTTCGGTAGCGCTTTCTGCAATGGTTTCATGTGGAGTTCAAAGTGTATGGCGCTTACATTGAGTGAGAAAGGGCTTTGACTAGTCTACCTATCCCATACTGGGGACAGCAGGTAAAACGAGATGTTTTGAACTGGTAAGGCACCACATCAGTAAGAGAAAATAATGGATTCTATCTCATTTGACATGACTGACTGAATAATTCATGTCTGATAGTAGCCGTACTTTTCTCCAGCTCGGTGATCCTCTCCAGCAGTGAGTTGAGGGTGTTCTCGGTGCGCTGTCGGTGAGCGGTCGTCTCGTTGTACAGGTGGCTCTTTTCCTCCTCGAGTTCGGTCACTCTGGTCAGCAGCTGGCTCTCCAGGTCAGTCAGACGGTGCTTCAGCAGGTCTCTCAGCTCATTGGGAAACATCCCACCTGATGTGTTGGCACGCAGCTGCTGCTGCAAGACAAAAGACACCAAATATTAATCTGCCTCGTGCTGTTACAGGCAGAAATTGCTCATAATGAACTGCCGGGGATTTGTGAGATGCTGAATTAATGTTGAACGCTTTAAGGGGGTGTACACTACTATGTACTTCCATCAAATTATATTTAATATTAAATAATATTTAGATGCATGTAACATTTAAATGTTTATTCAAGTCAAAAATATAATTTTAAATCACAGAATCAACTTAATTACATTAATTTATACCAAACAAACAATTTTTTATGGGTTGAATCAAGTAGAAATACCTCTTTATGTTAAAAATTGAAGGTTACCACATTTTCATTGTAGATACAATGTACGTATTGTATTCAGTGCTGTACTACAAAACACTTGTGACTATTGAGGTGTGAAGAATATAATGTTAGGAACAGGTTTATTAGTATGGGTAGCTTTAAAGGTGGGTTAAGAACAAGAGTCAACAGTGATATTATAGGTTACACTTTATTTTAAGGTGTCCTTGTTACAGTGTAATTATACAATTAAGTACTGAGTAATATTAATTAACTACATGTACTTACTATATGGTTAGGTTTAGGGTTACTTGCAAGTAATTATGCATAATTAATTGTTATTTTTTATTAATTGTTATTAATTGGATTTTTTTTTATTGCCTAAAATGCCTGGGTTTTGGCTGTTTTTTACATTTCACATGTAAAATGTGTAACGAGGACACCTTAAATAAAGTGTTACCAAATTATACTGTAGTTGTAATTACAGGAATTAATTAGAGATGTAATTACAAGAAGGCATTTTTAAATATAAGCACACTGTAAAAACATGTCTGTACACGATAATTGTACATAGTAGTTGAAGACACCATGTGGGTCCATTTTTTTTATCAAAATTAATAAACTAATTTAACTCCACCAGATTGAAAATTAGTATTCATTTTGATCCAGGGACCCTGTATGAATTCAAGTAGTTCATATCGGTAATATTCCATATCCACTTGGCTATTAACAAGAAGTGATATGTCAATTGAGTAATACACCAAAATCTTCCAACAGCCTTGTCAATTGGTGCATTTGGTTTCAGCAATTCTGTGAATGTATAAATAGCTCTTTTTGTATTTTGCATGCAGCTATCCGCATTGTCATTGAAAAACGCAGTGGTCACTGATTGCAATTTCAACTAAAACACTCTTGGTTCCAAAATGGGGTTTGTGCATCGATGCCATAAGAACCATTTTGGGTTCCCCAAAGAACCTTTCAGTTTACAGTTCTTAAAAGAACCATTTTTTTTCGCAGCTTGAAGGACATTTTAATAACTAACTTTATCATTTTCACTATAAATAACTTTTAGTGGTTCCATGGATGTTAGATGTTCTTAATGGAACCATTGATGCCAATTAAGAATCTTTATTTTTAAAAGTGACGAGCAAAGTTCTTTGCACTCTCAGTATATCTTTTAAATAATTGCTAAGTCTGTATCTGCTCACTACTTCCCATCTACAATATCAAAGCTCATTATTAATATTTCACGCAGCTTGAAGGACATTTTAATAACTAACTTTATCATTTTCACTATAAATAACTTTTAGTGGTTCCATGGATGTTAGATGTTCTTAATGGAACCATTGATGCCAATTAAGAATCTTTATTTTTAAAAGTGACGAGCAAAGTTCTTTGCACTCTCAGTATATCTTTTAAATTAATTGCTATATAATCTGCTCACTACTTCCCATCTACAATATCAAAGCTCATTATTAATATTTCATTCAAATCGTGAATTCAAATAGAAAAAGTCCCTCCCTCCCTCCATGTAACATGGCTCATATGACCTTGTTTTGACAGATGTAAATCAAGCATCACTAATAAACAGTGTTGGGGAAAGTTACTTTTAAAAGTAATGCATTACAATATTGCGTTACGCCATAAAAAAGTAAGTAAGACCAATTTTCACAGATCATTAGAGCTCTGTTTTCCTTAAAAGCATCACAGATGGCTCTTAAGTGCCCATGATCACTCATCAGCATAAACGCTCACCTCCAGGTTCTCCAGACGGTCTTTGAGGCTCTGCATGGTCTTGCCCAGCTGCTCCACAGTCTCGGTGGGGTCACGCGGCAGATCGCCCATCGTGTTTTTACTGTAATCCTTCCTGCGCGCGCTGCCCCGAGACTTGGCGTCCGCCTCGCACCGCGCGAGTTTGGAGTTGAGCTCTTTGATGGTGCCCTGCTGACTGACGATAGTTTCCTTCTGCTGCAGGATGGTCTCTCGAAGCTGAATGATAGTATCCCGCAGCTCTTCCTCCTGCGGACTTGTGCTTTGGACCCGGTTGGTCGTTTCCACCGGGCAACTGAGGTCGGTGCCCGCTGGCACGGCGGTGCACACGAAGCGGTTTCCCCTCGCGCCAGCCACTTTCCCGCTTCCTGACGCGTATAAAAGCAGCAGTGCCACAAAAAGAGCTCTCATTACGACCGTTTGTCTCTTAAAAGCTGGAGTAAATTCAAGTTAGTTAGTTTGTTATTTAAATAAAATGCCTAAAGGTCCACGACGTCGCGCTAATAAAAATCACTCAAAACAAGCACAAGACCGAAACAACACAGATTAGCTGTAGTTAGCCTGGAAATCCAAAGCTTGTCCCAGTACAAACCGAGTGCCGCTCTCTTCGCACAGTCAGTGAATATGTTAAAACAAACTGTTGGAGTCCTTCTCACAGACGCGTCACACGCATTTAACTACCTGTCACGTTAACAGAATCACTCACAAACGGAAACAAGTAGCTGTCCAAACGAAGAGCGGTTTCTGGCGTTAAACGCCGACTGTCAGCGCTTTAAGGCTCTTCACACACAGTCGGTGGTGCTGAACGGACAGCGGCGCTTTACTGGATTAATATAGAGACTGAGGCGCGCGCGGTCTGGCTCAGATGGAGAAGCGCGCGGATTGACTGAGCTTCATCTACGTCACTTACTCGCGCTTGGTGCGAGTCACGCTTGAACATGATATTGCCGTGGCTTTTTCTGGCCTCCCGTGAATGTCGCGTTGAATAAACAGTGCGCCGAGCAGATGCAGAGAGCTCCTTAATAACCCGCAATTTCAGCCAATAACTGCTTCTCGGCCAATTGAACCCTCGTGTTCTGGAGAGATAACGCTCTTCACCTTATGTTTGGGTCCAAAGCTGATTCATATGTCAAGTTAAACCAGCTTGACAACAGTTGGTTAAACTTAAAAGGTTTAGAAAAGTGAAGTTAATTCCGGATAAGGTGGTTCTAAACCTTTTAATTGGTCCCCCACTGTCAAAATAAATATATATGCCCTCATACAGAGATTTTTTAGTCTTGTACTTCTGCTAAAATAACAAAAATAAGGACTTAGCTGTGTCCCAATTACACTACACACTACACTCTAAAAAATGCTGGGTTATTTCAACCCAACTTTGGGTCAAATATGGACTAACCCTACTTTTGGGTTAAAAATGTAATGTAAAAATTGAACGCAACAGTTGGGTTAGTCCATATTTGACCCAAAGTTGGGTTGAAACAACCCAGCATTTTTTTTAGAGTATATAGACTTCAACTATTATGTTAATTACATGTTAAATGACATACCGTACACTATACACTTAAAATAACAGCATCATGCTGGTATTTGAACTGAAGTACACTTCTTGTTGAGTTTTTATGGGAGTGAACACACTTCTCACAGTATTTAAACTAAATAGGGTGATGTACGTCCTCTTTTTCCTGGACGTCCTGTTTGGATTTTTTTTTATTGCCTAAAATGCCTGGGTTTTGGCTGTTTACCTATTGTTTTCTTCATTGCTGAAGGTACACTCAAATAAAATGCTGGGTTGTTTCAACCCAACTTTGGGTCAAATATGGACTAACCCAACTTTTGGGTTAAAACTTTCATTTAAAAATTTAACCCAACAGCTAGGTTAGTCCATATTTGACCCAGTGTTGGGTTGAAATAACCCAGCATTTTTTAGAATGTAATAACTGAAAAGCAGTTTGACCAGTAGTGTGCAGGCGTTGTACATAATCAACCAGTCGTGGCGTGGCGAGAAGGTGGGATCTAAAGAGAATGATCAAAGCAATGCAAATACACATTCATATAGGCTGCGTCCAAAAGTTGAAAAAAAAATGCTGCCTCTGCACTCTAAAAAATGCTGGGTTGTTTCAACCCAACTTTGGGTCAAATATGGACTAACCCAACCCCTGAGTTACATTTTTACATTAAAATTTTAACCCAAAAGTTGGGTTAGTCCATATTTGACCCAAAGTTGGGTTGAAACAACCCAGCATTTTTTAGAGTGTGCAGGCACCACACAGAGGTAGGAAGGCAAACAAGGCCTGTCCAGATCCAGCGATCATGTCACATTCTGTCCACTAAGATTCTTTAATTTGATTGATTTTTAATGGCAGAATAGATGCATCCTTCACAATCCGGTGCATTCGTAGAGCTAAAAATAAAGATGGCTTCTGACAGTTGCAGTTGGTGGTCAGTTTGTACATAAATTTAGGTTTTGACCAACCTTTTCCACTTGTGATGTAATATGTAGTGAGAAATTAGTATTTAAATGTTCCCTTAACCCCAAAACAAACAAAGCCAAAACCTGGACATTTTAGAGTCAATTTGGGGTAACACTTTAGTATAAGGACCAGTTCTCACTATTAATAAGTTGCTTATTAGCATGCATATTATTGTAGCCTCTCGACCAATCTGACACACTAATTTTAATTTGATTTAACAAATCAATTATTCATTAGGTTAACAAATCGTCACAGTCCCCTCACTCAATTAACTGGATGCCAGGATGTCTGCTGAACACCAGGCCCTCTGGTCACCATGACAACTAATCATGATATCACTGGTTTTATGACCCCCCAGGAATGTGAGAAGGATAGTTGCTTTTTACATACTTATAAAGCACACATTCTGCATGACCATTTTCTACATCTCTATACCTAAACTTAACAACTACCTTACTAACCAATAATAAGCAGCAAATTGGGAGTTCACTGAGGCAAAGGTCGTGGTTAACGTTTTGTTAATTGTGAGAATTGGACCTTAAGACAAAGTGTGACCAATTTAGAAATCCCAGCCTGGACATGTCTGGGGAACAGAAAGATGTACGGTCACCCTAACGTATAGTGCACTCTCAGAAAAAAAGGTACAAAAGCTGTCACTGGGGCGGTACCTTTTCAAAAGGTACACTTTTGCACATTTTAGGTACTAATATGTACACTTTAGGTACTTAAATGTATCTTTAAGGTACCAATATGGATTCTTTAGGTACAAAGGTGTGCCTTTTGAAAAGGTACCACCCCAGGGACAGATTTTGTACCTTTTTTTCTGAGAGTGTGTACAATACACACATTTGGACGCACCTCTTGTTTTATACAGAAACTATGGCTACAAAAAAAAATTTGAATGGAAGAAAATTTTTTTAAGAAATGTTACATTTGTATAGTAAGTTTTATGCAAGCCCCCTAAGCGGTTGTTGTGATTTTTAAGTGTGGCTTATAGGGTATAGTTAATAATATTGCTAATTTAGAGGTGAAATTAATTTGCTAATATTACATTATATTGACTTACATTAACATTTTGATTTATGTGACAAGAAAACATATTAAGTATGATATGGTCTTATAATAAATGATCGACTTACTTTCCATTAACTTTTTTTGTCTTTGGGAAAATAAATACTTTTGATTAATATTACATTTCTATGCATAATTTCTATAAAATAACTTGAGAGTAAAAAAAGTGCTTTAAAAAAAAACTTTTTTTTTTAAATAATCAAACATTATTTATTTATTTATTTATTTTTTAGTTTGTCCAAAGTCTTTTTTTTGAGTGTATTGCCATTGTATGGAAAAGGTCTGCCTGAAGATTGTTTAAAACATCCTCTTTTTTGTTCCTCAGAATAAAGTAAATCGTAGCTTTGGCTTTGGGACGTCATGAGGCTGAGTAATGTAGAGTGAAAGTCTCCAATTATTTTTAGGGGCCACTGTATGAACTTCTGCCGTTGTTGCTGTTGTTGTTTTTTCACGCCTAGTTTATATGTGGCCACTGTCTTCCTCCTATGCGGCTTCAGAGGCAGAGGCTTAATGGCCTGTTGCTGGCAGTAATACTGTGCGGGGCGGCTCGGGTCACGGGTTTGGTGACAGTTTCCATGCTCGTTTAGACACACGCAGCGGGCGGCTGCCACCTCTGCTGTGACTGCCCCCAAACTGGAACCCAAACTGCTGTAAGCTTAGTATTCACACAGCTTATTCTCCAAAGCATCAAAAAAGGACGCCAAGTCTTTCAGCTTGTGCCAAAACTAAATTATTTTTTTATTTTTTATTTTTTTTTTATGTTCATTCGTTATTTAGTTTTTTAATATGACATTTGTTTTTCCAGAACAAAGGTCCAAAAAGAAAACGATAGTACGGTATACTAGTAGTTACAAATAAACATCTCTGATGCACAAAATAAAGGAGTTCCAAACAGATCACATCGATAACATCAGCAGGGTGTGAGGAAAAATAAAAAATAAATTAAATACAAAAAATACTACAATAACAAGATAATAATATTTAGGTAAATAAATTAAGAGTTACAAAGGTATAATGCAGTATAAAAACCAGCGTAAATAAATAAAGCTATCACATTCCTAAGTGATCTAATACAGGCTTTCATATTTTCCAAAATATATCTAGCTTATCATTGTTAATAAATCGTAACTTCTCAATATGAATAATGCCCGCTAGTTCACTCTGCAACACATCAAATGTTAGAACAATGTCAAGTTTCCACCTCTGAAGAATCAATCTCTTTGCAAGAACCATAAAAAAAGAAATACACTGTCTTTCATATGTACTAAAAGAAGATACAGAAATCACCCCAAAAATGGCAATCATTGGATCTGGAACAATATATTTTTTATGCACTTTTGAAAGCAGGTCAAAAATATCAATCCAGTACTTGTGAAGGTTACAACATGTCCAGAATGAATGTAGAAGTGTACCCTCCGCAACCTTGCATTTATCGCAAACCAGTGACACTTCAGGGAAAATCTTATGCAATTTAGTTTTGCACATGTTTACTCTGTGTAGAGATTTGAATTGAATTAAGTTGTGTCTAGTATTAATTGAACAATCATGTATATTCTGTAAGCATTCCTCCCATTGCGCGTCCTCAATAGTGAAACCTAAATCCTCCTCCCATGCTTTCCTAATTGAAGTTGTGTCACTATCCACCAGATCAGTTAATACATTATAGAAATATGATACTGCTTTTGAGTTTCCGGCTTTAAATCGGTTAATTTCCTCTAATTTTCCATGCTTTTTTAGTTGTTCAAAATTAGGAAAACATTTTCTGACATAGTCTCTAATTTGCAGATATCTAAAAAAGTGAGAATTTGGTAACCCAAACTTTAATTGGAGCTCTTTAAAAGACAAGAAATACCCATTCATATAAAGTGAGCCAACACAGCCTATTCCCTTCTGTTTCCAATGCGAAAAAACCTTATCATTAAGAGCGGGAATGAAGGAGTGATTCATACATATGGGGCTATCAAGACATACATTAGGAGCTTTAATATACATTTTAATTTGTTTCCAAATTTTTAAAGACTGGCCTGTGACAAAATGTTTATTATAGATAAGCTTACTAACCTTTCCTGGACTATTGCATAGTGCCTGCAGTGAAGAGTTAGAGCAAAGGGCTTGTTCAATTTTAAGCCATTCAGGTTGTTCACAGGTTCCTTCTGATGGATCATCCTTCCACCAAGAGAATATATTCAAGTGTGCTGCCCAATAATATGCTTTAAAGAAAGGTAACCCAAATCCCCCTTTCTCCTTAGATTTAAAAAAGTGTTGTTTTTT